TAGTTTCTTCTTATTTTTTAAGTTTCAGACCATAAGTGCTGGGACCATAAGTGTGTTATTTAAGTTTCAGACCATAAGTATCCCGAAGTACGGGATCGGCTGTACGCTGTGAGAAATAAAGGGTAATATAACCCTTCCCATTTTTGTTGTATCTTCTACCACTCACACGAACATAGTTTTAAGTAAACTAATTTTACAAATTTAAATTTACTAGGTGTTCCTACTCAGGACTCTAGTGATGTTTCCAAAGGCTGTGAGAAGAAACAGAAGTCCTGACAAGTCTAGCGGTTTTTCTTAAGATGAACTTAAAATAAGTTCAAAATGTTATGTAAAATTTGTTTATCCATACAACAAAATGAAGTCACAGAAGTTTCCAATAAACCAAAAACTTACGATATGAAATCAAAAAAGGCTATTAAAAACAAGTTGACTTAGTCTTACACTTGGAAGAACATTAATTTAATCACAGACGGGCTATGCTTTCTGAATCATTTTAACTCTTTGCTAATTATCATATTGTCATGCTTTCTGCTGAAAAGCAGTTTTAGTATATATCATAAAAAAGATCTGGAATATACCTGGTTTATCTAAGCATCATAATAATGAACGTATTTTCAGCATTAGACCAAAAGTTCTATGAAAAGCAAAAGAAAGATCGTGTTGATTCAGAAAATATCATTTAAACTTACAAAAAGCATGCCATGTAATACTGTATATTGTTTATTTGAAAATATTTTCTAAAATGGGATTTAATTCTGCAGTAATTCTGAAAGCCAAAGAATCCTATATTTTATATCATTTATATTTTAGAATAAAATACATGCTATATCTTTCAGTTTACCTTTTAATATACGAATTCAATATTTATTAAATCTCAAGCGAATCAGGCGATTGACCAATTTAATAAATTTAATTCACCACTTTTTCATTATTTTTCTGTATATGTTACATAACGGAAGTTATTAACAGAAATTCTATCACAAAGATAAGTTTCCTCAGTCTTTCGCGTCCTTTTCCTGTACCGATCAACGAACAGTCTAATCCTATATATTTTGCACAATGATACAATTGATTTTTAGTATGCTACCTTTTCAAAAGGATTACACAAAATACTCCATCATACTATTTGATGAATCAAAAAAAATATTTCATACCAAATGCGACAAACGTAGTCTGTCTTACCTACCAGGAACTATTCCATTCCATATAGCCCATGGGGACCAGAAATTTGATCCGAGGTCTGGTATATCGGTGGGTGATGCTTCTGTATTATTAGCTAAAGGCATTTCTATCTTAGTGCAGTTATTTATAAGTTGAAGCATGTTGTGGAAATTTGGGTACTTGACTGCTAATCCACTGTTTCGAATTATAACGTCTGCATCTGAAACTTCTCTGTAAAAAAAGATATATGAAATTTAAGTAAGAGGTTTTCAGTATGTGGATGATAGAATATAAAAAAACTGCAAAGCTTCAAACTTTTACCTAAAGTATTACTGTAATGCCTTTTGGAAGTGAAAGAAAAACATTTAGGAAACACTGAGAGATAGACTTAAGAATCTAAAAGTGTTCCCTAATTACATTTATTTGCGGAGCTCTTTTACATTTTGTGCAATGTATCGTAACCTCTAATATTATGTAACGTAATTAAAAAAAAAAAAAAAAAGAAAAAGAAAAAGATAAAAAAAAAAAAAAAAAAAAAAAAAGAAAATGTAATAAGAAGCTGGAAAAAAGAATGAGCCGCAGACGAAAATTTATTTACTTTAGGATTAAATACTTTTAAATTAGAATTTATATTTCTCAGCATGAACAGGAGGGAAGACAATTACACAATTTGGCCTTTTTTTATGTCGTATAACTAAATGAATCAGCTTATGTACTATAGTACCTCCTTATCCAAGTTCAAGATTATATTACAAAGAATTACCGTGAACAGCTGCAACAGCAGATAACAATGAACGCTATAGAATGCTCTCGTAACACATGTATAGTTAATTTTAATTAATAAATTATGAAAATAAAATATTACGAACATTAAGTAATATAATAAAAAATACTTGGTACAAAACAATACATTATGTACTGTACTACTAAATAAAGAAGTGTAAAATATAGCCCACAGCCCCATACACACTTTCTCGGGCCTACAAAAGTAAGGAACTCAGAAATTCCGACTTTAAACTTAATCCGCAAAAGATGAGCGAGAAGTAAAGGAATGAAGCTCTTACACTGCAAAGCATAATAAACTATTTATAAGGTTTATAGAATTAAGAATGAAGAATTTACGTATTTTAGTAGCACATACAGAGTTTCTAAGTAGTAATAGCTACACTCATTTTACGTTTTAAGCCTCTTATTACAATAAAAGAAAAAGAGCAAGAACGTTTTAGGCTTACAGTTAAATACACTCTGACGATTGATAGTCAGATTACCCACCATTTTATAACCATCATTTGGGGGTTAGTTGGTTTGATTATGGCTCGAGAATTATCTGCCCAAGGAGAGGAACGCTTCTGCGAAGGAGTTTGTAAGGAAAACTGGATCCACGTTACGCATGGGAAAAAACGAAAATGCCCGTTACATCGCATTTCCGTTACGTCGTTCGCAAACGATCGGATCCACGTTACGCATGGGGCAAGCCACGAAAATATCGGTTACATCGCATTTCCATTATATCGGCCCCAAACGATCGGATTGCTATCAACTTGCTCAACTTACGAAATATACAATTCCCCCCCCCTCTCTGCCATTTTGAACTGCGAGTACTAAATTTGCGGACACTGAGGTAAAGCTATATGTATTTTTGTTTGTTACAGAAAACACGACATGGGTTTATTCCTAATGCAATGATAAATTTTTTATCAAATTCCTTATTTATAGTTATTACTACCAAAAAAACATAAAAATATATTTTGATGAGTGAAGTGCAATACATTTTTCCTCCGCCTCTCTTTCCACTGATTTCTGCTTAAAAGTGATTTTAAAAATGTGTTCGTTTAAGCGGAACCCCTTCTAGTCAGTTTCATTACTTTAAGCTTTACAAAACAAGTTAGTTTTCATCTCTACTTAATTAGAAGAAAAGTTACTGAAGGTTTCAGGAAGATGGTAGAAAAGAAAATGGGCATTAAAGTTACAAAGTGGCCTGCCACAAACTAATTGAAATAGCATTTCTTTTCAGAATACAGTTTCAAAAAACTTTTGAGATAATAAACACAATAATAATACTTTAGGAAATACTATATACAAGACAAAAGACAGATAGTAATAATACTTTAGAAACTGTATGCAAATAAATATGAATATGTTGAGATTATTCCAGAAAAACGTCCAGTCCAGCCTTCGAAGACTGGAAAGTGAACAATAAAGTCTTGGAGGTCATCAAAATTAATTAATTTCTTTTGTGACAGCTTGCCAGATTATAAAATTTCTATTCACAATAATTTCAATAATTTCAAAAATGCAACAATTACATTTTCAAATGTAAAACATATTGAAATGTAGAGTGGGAGATGCAAAGACAGTCCCTTGTCATATCCGATAGCTGATAGAAATTTTAGCAAGCTGCTACAACTGAGACAAAAACCCAGAAGAATATAATGAACACAATTAAACTTATTTACAAGGAATTCTGATACCAAAATTTATTAGAGATGTGCTTACATGGGAAAACACAGAATGTAAACGAGAGCTTCAACTCTAATCCATGAAAATTCACCCTAAAAAACTTTTTTAATAGCAAATACTAAAAATAGGAACATATGTAGCTGTCATATAGCAGAGGTCTCAAAAGATTACTAATAATTTTTGAAACTGCTGGCATTTATCCTAGCAATAATACATTGAAAGTTTCTTTTACTGGATAAAAAGCGAATTAGAAATTCAGACCACACTTATTATCTGAGACAAAAATTGCCTGGAACGAAAAATAGATTTGCTAAAAAAGGAAAACATATAAATGTGAGCAAGAGAAATTCGCAATCTTCATATGTGGAAAGTATTAGGTATACAAGTAAGCTTTTTTTTTTTTTTTCCGTGAAAAGACAATAATTGTAATCTTTCTCAAAATTTATTTTTAATGCATAATTTGGTCACTTCAACAAAAATGATAGCTCAAAATCTTATTATCTCATTTTTATGAAACTTTATGTGCTTCCTGTTTGTGTTATTTAGTAAATGTTTCCTGTTATTTAGTAAATGTATTAAAAGGAATTGGATTGTATGGGTATTTTTCAAATAATGGCCTGCTTTCCGAGTTATAACATTATGAATTTGCTCCAAAATATTATAAATTACTTTTCGATCACCTCTAAACTTTTTATTTATTAAAATATCCTTTAATTAATAGTGAAACCACTATGATTTGCTACATGTATTTGACATTTTTGCAAAATTAGGAGGATTTATTTTAACCCTTTGCGGCAGAGTGTGTCCGGTCTGGACACACCTAAATTTCCTCTGTGCGCCAGAAAATGGAATGACAAAGGATTTATAGTTTCTTCTGACCTCTTTATGTAAGTATTATGGAAGTAACACAAACCAGTCCAGATATTTTAGCCATGTTAGTTTTTAAACCTCCTTTTTCAAAGAATCTTCACAAGACTTTTTTTAGGTATAAAAGGAATTGTTTGAAAAGAAATTTCTATGTTATTTTTGCTATATATCTCCTTGAAATTTTGCCTAACATCAAACGCGAACCCTAGTGTGCCCAACCGGGCCTCACGCTAATCTAGAGAACGAAGTCTGTATTCTTGCTTCCCGCATCTCATCGTCATTCATGAACAATGCTCGTTTCAGTCCTCTTTTCGAAGCTCTATTCAATCAGTGTGCCCACTTTGGGCACACCCACAGAATTAAAAGATAAGTGCTATCTTCACAAAATTTTACTTGTGTACTCCTCTAGGCCTAATTAGACTGCCTACTCATTTTTTTAATCAATTGCGTTTTTTTAAAGGGGCTCCGAATGTATTTAGGTACCTTAAATTGAAAATTGCGTCCTTAAATATTATTTCTTAGATTAAATTAATCTGCACCATAGCTGAAATCCAGAGCTGCAGTTTGCAGGACGCTGAGAATACATAATCTCTTACGTTAAAATTGTTTACGTTTTCCCTCTGAAATGATATCATGCTTCATTTAATTATGCGAATATGTCAGCAAATTATGCTGTTTTTGAGCAATCTAGAAGTACTTACTAATCAAACAGATAACAATAATTCATTAATCAGCAAACATGTCAACTACTCTTGCACAATTTATATATTCTAATAAGGAATTTAGTACGCGGTAGTCATAAGAATTCTTAGAGCACAGCCAAGAGAAGATCAGTTAATATCCTCATATAAAATTTTGAATAATTGTTAACTATAATGATTCATTTTAATAAAATCAATAATCTGGACAGCTTTTCCAGTGCAATTTAAATACGATTAAAATATTTTTAGTAACATTTCTATGCAGAATAGAGGGACTTATAGCGAACAATATTTTTTTCTCGCTAAACTGAACACTTTTCAGACTTCTGCTTTGATGTCACTACACATGTTAACAATATTTGAATCAGTTATACATGCGTGTTTATAAATTTATGAATATAGTTATTTTTTTAACCAGTAGTATGAGTTATTTGTAAACTTTAGCGTAAAAAAGAACTTTAGTTACCTAGTTAAAATCGTATCTTACAAAGGAAGCAAAATTGCTAGACCTGCAGCACCAATACGTATTAGCCTCATTTCAAAGAATATTCATAAATGTGCCAACTTTTACAGAATGGTTTATGTGATTACGGGAAAGCCTTGAGGGCTATCTACCTAAAGGGAAGAATGCCTTCGTGGAGGACTTTCTAAGGGAAACTGGGTCGTATATACGTTACACATGGGGGAAACCACGAAAATGCCCATACAGCTAAGTCCGTTCGTGGGATTCGAACCTCAGACCGAGTTACCAGTGTTCAGCGACTTCACCGCTTAGTCGCTGGTGGATGCCAACTTTTACGAATTTTTAGTATTTTGAAGAAGACTTTTTTTGTAACAAAATACCTGGAACAATACAATAAATAAAATAATACAATAAAGAGTAAAAATTAACGATATTAAACAAGCAAGAATCAGTGTACGGTGCATAAATTTGCAGGAGTAGTTTTGACAAAGAAAAAAATAAGGGTAAATAGAGACTTCTTTTCCAGTTGCAGGAGTAAAAATGAGGAAGGAGAAGCTTGTTCTCACGCTATAGCAATATTAGGATAATAATAAGGAAGGTATTGGCCCCATTTATTGCCATAAAATGAAAACAACTATGAAATAATTTCTTCAAAAGCTCGAGCTAAAGGCTGATTAGAATTGGAGTCCTTAACTAGAACTGAAAAATTTTTATAAATGTGAAACGTCTCTAATAAATCT